CTCCGCTACCCCTTCCTCGAGTTATTTAATTTTTGACTGCTTGATAAAGCAGTGAATTGATCTTACAACAGGTATGATTCCGAAGTCTGTGATGGACACAAGGTACTCTTTTAAACCCCGGTAAATGCAAAATTCTCCACTAATTGCGACCACGAGCTGTTCCTCGACGTATCTGTTGAGTGAGTGGATCTATAATACCTCTTCCGGGAAGCCTAACAAGCGCTGCATGATCAAGTCTTTTGGTTAGACTTTTCATTCTTTTCTTCCAGGCCACAGACTGATCAGTCTTGCTCATTTTCCAACAGGTACCAGCCTCAGCAGACATTGCGCAACTATGAATACTACCTGTGATCATGTGCATCACATGTCCCGGTGTGTCCCATTTTCATCCCTACAGGTTACGAAAACACATTCACTCAGATTCATCACCTTTTGGAGTTAGACAGCAATCCACTGTCACCCAGCTCGTAACCAAGTTTGGTTTAATGGAACGTTATGTTTATTCTCCGCTCCATTTCTCAGGGTCAGGTATCCTTCGCGGTTATAGAATGGATGCCCCTTCCGGAGCACTCATGATCAAGCGAACAAGAAAAGCAATTGAAAAGATTATGGTTATTCTGGTCGTAACCACAGCGGAACATTCAAAGGAACATCGGTTTTGCTTATTTTCACTGCTTTAGAAAAGTTTTTTAATATGGGGATTTTGTGCGTTGAAAGCAAACTTCTCCTTCATCATAAAACTGGCACCAAGTAGAAACCCATACAAAATTAACAGTTACACCGTAGATTGCACGATACTTTACGGAATACAACGAAGCGGTGCTTTCTGATAACCTTCAGGATATACCATGTGATCTACGAGCTTCTTGTCACGAAACACTAGCAGGTTCTCGATGTTTTGCTTTCGTAAGAAACAAACAAATTACACTGAAGCATTTTTCACTTTCCTATTGTGTTTACTATCATAGATGTTTTGCAGATTATCATGACTACACCTGGTTACTTCGAGATCACGTGAGATTCAGTCATGTTTGTGCCCGTGCGACTGTGAGTGCGTGAGAAGAATAGTTCTTTTCTGCTCTTCCCCCAAGCACTTCTCAGAGGCAGCGCATTGTCCTTCAGTATTGTTGTCAAACTGTGGACTGTAAACCAGAGTAATTAAAAAACAGTAGGCTGCCAAGTGTGCTTCCGTATTCTAGTTATCGTACTTCGACCTTGAGTTAATCTTATTTGGTGCATCAGTGGACAAAGCAGTTCCCTCAGGATTGAAGTTGGATATGGATTAGAACTGAATCATAACACAATTATAAAAGATTTATCGCACAAAGGTTAGGATAGCTGCCCTTCATTATACTTGAAAATCGATCTCAGAGTACCACTGACTTAGATTTCTGTCACCACTCGGTGTGCTTACAAACACTGTGAAACTAACAAAAACTACCATCCTCTCAAATCAAAACTGTGCAGCCACCAGGCTGTTTCCCCGTCCTATTTTCCGCAAGAAATTATTCTTTTGAAAGATTCATAACTGTATATACCTATTCTTTACCTCTACTAAACCAATGTGACCATAACGGTCAGAATCAAATGGCAAGTTCTGACCAATGCACATGAATGTACTCGGTCTGTGCTCATGAGTTTTCACTAATAGTCTTCTCAGTTATGGCAGTTGTAGACAGCAATCAGGATAGCCTGACAAATCGAGATTCTGTACCGCACGCAATCATCATTTATACTCCCCTTGCCCACTACCGTAATCCGATCAACGCAAGGGAGGACTCTGGTCAGAACATCTGCTTATATCAATACTGCTTCAGGTACGCGAGACCAGTGGAGACTTATTTATAAAATGATTGCTGAATTTTTCATTAAGTGATAGGTCAGCTGGCTGAGTCATCACCTGGTGAGATTTTTCTACTCGACAACAGTCTGTTGGGCTACCATTATTAGGTACTCCGAAAGAGTTAATTGCAATTCATCAGTGATACCTTGAACTGACCGGCAATTGAACTCCCATATAAACAAGTAAAATTTCAGTCTAGATAATACTAGATTTATTCACTTTACGGCATTGCCTGAACTAGTAATCAGTGAAGCGCATTGAGGGGACATGCAAATTACGCCATTTGACGAGACGTCGTAGACGAGAGTCCGCGATTAAAATAAAGCTAGCCCATTGGTTAGTAAAATTCACGCAAATGTTTGCTTTTCGTTTATCAAACGTTACGAACTCCAGATACATGGGAACATTTACTTGGGGTAATATAAGACGAGGCAGATCAACTTTGGCTGCGCAGACCATAAATCAAAACGATTTTGCAAACAACCCGTGCGCTACCACCTTCATTTTTGGGATAAGAACTCTCTGCTTATTCCTCCAGCCCCAAAATGGACGATTCATGTTATTTTCCGTTTTCAAAGAACCATCTAAACTCATATTATCGTTGAACTCCCATTTCTAACCATTATGTATCGAGAAGGTCCTAATGAGTTAAATCATCTTCGTTTGAGCCTACACCATCAATATGACAAATAATTAAGATTTCAAACTCCTAGAATTACTATGAATACTATCTCGGGGTACATACTGGTGAACTAGTTTAGATTACGTGCGTCATTATCATGCCAGTAGACCACGATGTATTGCGTCAAGTCAAAGGACTGGACAAATTAAACAAATAGATGGAAGTGATAAGAACTATCACAAATGTTGCAGTTCATGCGTGAAACACTACCGGTAAGTTGTCATATTCTATCCTCAACGAAGGCCATCGGAATCCGTCCTCGCTTTTCCCCTTGTACGCTCGAAATCTTTGTGCTCGTAAACACCATTATTCCATCTGTCACCTTAATACTGGCCACAAACAGGACAAAAAACTGACAGAATACGAGTGAAACCAAGCACGTTCGGTATAGAGTTAAAAGCGGACTACAATATTTGTGATAGTTAATCTACATTATTGCCAACTATTTGTCCAGTTGGTTCTGCCCGTTAGCTTGCCGGAATACATTATGAAGTAAAGTCTTGATTATGCGTCACTGAAAATGAGACTGTTTGTCAGACTGTGTTCTCTCAGTGCGCTCAGTGCTAATATTTGGACAAGCATGCTTTAGAAAACCTATCCTATTCTCTATTGTCTTCGCATAAAGTGTAGCGTGGGCATGGGATTATCAAAGTCGCAGGTGAAACTTTCAGTTTTTGGAGTGTTGTTTGAATTTCGTACTTTTCTATCATCTGAACGCAGAGTTTCTCGTTACCACTTCCACGGTATTGCTTTGTGATCAGTGGAATGTGTTTGGTTAGATAAATTGAAATTTACCACTTGGAATTCAGCTGACTAACATGAGACTTCAGGATAGCAACCGGAAAAATGTTAGACGGCTCTTCTCTCTGATGGTTGAATCTCAACATATTTGATGAGCAAGACGCCTGAGACTGCTATCAATCATGAACTGCTAAGAATTTAAATCATTTGATCTGCCTTTATTCTTTTAATCTAATCAAATAAATGATCCCGTGACCGGCATTTACGGCTTTGTTCGATGGTCCCCGAATTCATTTTGAATACTAGCTTACCCGTCACACGCACCTGGTAATCTAACAGCCACAATAATCGGATACTATATTGGGCTCGCTAAAATCAATAAATTTTCTCAATTATAATTCCTGATCATAAATGGTCGTACGTCGTAGTTCTTTATTTTCACGCAATCAGAGCCGACCAGAGTTCCATGACTTTCTTATGTGAGTGCATGACGGTCTTATTTGCGACGTTAGACTACACTCATTGAATCGCAGAAAGCTTCATACCACCTGCCGAGCACTTCCATAAATTGTGATTATTCGGTTAGTGATACATGTTGAGGACAATGGCAAATGTCACTGACATGAGATAACCGCGAAATTCTATAATTGTGGGTTCAAAAGCCACACCATTAGCCTAATTTGTTTGCTTAGTGCTGTCTAAGGAAGCAGATAGCATGAAGTGGTTGACTTGAGGTTCTGGCAGCTTCGTATGACCATCCGGAAAACAAAATCTAACACCAAATATTGCAGCCATTATTAGAGTCATAAGAGTAGGATTCGAAGTATGATATCGTCGATAACGGCATCATACTCATTTTGAGTAATGAATTTGTTTAGTAAATCAATAAACCTTCACTGAATGTGACGAACTTAGCTGCTAAATCAGAAAAGTCCTTTATATTATGGAATTAAGAATGATAGAAAAGGAAGTACCGCTGAAAGCATAAGACAGCCAAAGAACTGATATGAATAAGACGATATCATTAGACCGATCTTATATATTCCCACCATAAAGCGATATAAAGTGGTCTCACCGATTCCAAACTGCTACTTTTACTATAAGTCACGCTGTTCGTAATCTTTACTACCGGTCAGTGTATCTGAAAATGTGGTAGTTAGAAGCTGATTCCATTGTATATCTACAGAGCACTTTGGAGCACTATTTCAAAATTCGCGAATTACACCAGACGAATTTCTTTGACGAGGTTTTGCAGGTCACGGTGGTGCGAATTTCGTCTGGCCATGGTTACTATCACTTTCTGTTGCGCTAAAGGTGGGTACTATTATTATTGTTAATATTACTATTAGTGGCAGCAGTACTGCTAGTAGTAGTAACAGTAGTAGTAGTTGTAGTAAGGGCAGTAGCTGTTTTAAACTAGTCCTGTCTTAGGATTATTACAGCTAAAGCTCAGTTATACTGACGAAGTCTTGTGACATGGTCTACAGGATCAGATATCGAAAACCTTGAAAACGTTCATAGAATAAGTTCAGAATGTGGTAGATTATGCCAGATCTCGCTTTCATCTAAATCGCTTGCCCTTTCCTTCGGTGACTAATGTCATTTGGGGATTCACTTTTAGGTCCTGAATCAAGCGTGTGCTTCTCAGAAGAAATTACTATTTTTTATACGCTGACGAATTTATGAGAAATATTTCGAATCGCTTCATTATGAATTGTTAAGAAAAGGACTTACCGAACACAACTGTCAATCCCTCCAATTTCGTCTGCCTCCAGGAGTTTAGTAGATAGCTGTCTAATAAAGCCGTTTTGGTGACAGGTTAAGGTCGAGCTGCGTTGACTTTATTCGCACTGTCACGTAATCGATGCTTTAATCAATCGGTTGCCGCAAAATTATAGATAAATCGACTAGCAGACTAGTGAACTTATTGATCTTTTATGCTCGATCAATAGGCCATTCGAGCACATTCAACAGATGAGAAGACCGAGGGTGAGAGAGACGCTAGTGCAGCAGATGATCTGAGGTTGTAGGTTAAACGTGCCTCGTCACGTTTCTGGAGTGGTGTGCAAGTGTGCGCCGCACGCACGTGTGTGAACGAATGAGCATGCACGCTTGCGTGCGCGCAGTGCAACACTGGTGGTATGATGATGATCCGGGAGTCAATGCGCAGGCAGGGGTGGGGTGATTTATGTCAAGTGCGATGGAATAAGAGAGCTCGGTCATCAGAATTACTCACGGATTGTTTTACCACGAACTTGCATGCACAGCGTTATTTCGTTGTAGGTCCTATTTGACCACACGTAGACGCACAAGTGTGTGGAAACCCAATACTCGTCTGCATGTGTGTGTGTGTGTGTGTGTGTGTGTGTGTGTGTTGGTGTGGTGTATGTGTGGGTTTGTCTGTTGGCTTGTATGAGTGCTACGTCTTTGTCGAGCGCATCGGTTCACTCGCCTGTCTGATGGCCCGCATGTTTGGGTGAATTGGGCTACACTCGGAGCTGTTGGCATGTTTGTCCTCGTTGTTCTCGTTTTTGTATTCGTGATGCCATTGTTTTGCTTCTCGTCGACTTTTTTGTTGTTAGCGCACTAGGTCTTTGCCCCTTCGAAACGCACACATGCATGCGCGACTGATCATGGCACTGTCGTCATCTTGGTAGCTGTGCATCGCCTTGTGATGGTGAGATCGTACACGTAAAGCATTTAGGCACGCTAGTGCACGAATGCACTATGCATGCCGGCGAACCAGTAGCCGTGTGCGTATCTACTTGCGTGCATACCTTTTGTCGCGAGATCAGAGGGCCAATCAAAATTGACTTTTTGCATGTCCACAGGTCATGGGTTGAAGCATGGATGTTATTGGCTCCTCGTTAGTGGAAAAATGACTTAAGTAATCAGTGAATGATGCCATCATTTAGTCGATAAGTGGTACGTGTTGGCAGCGAGAAAAGCTCTCTCCCCTAAAAGCTGTGCAGTGTGTTCGCATTGGTGGTAATTTATGACTTCAGTTAGAATTCTGATGGTTTTAATTGTTTCAACTCGTTACCAATTCATTTGGTTGACAAAATGAAGGAAAGATTCACCTTGTAGTGAAATATCGTGATATGAAACGAATAAACGATGACGAACGAACTGATCGGGTCCATGTGAAAATTCAATAACAAAGACCAGCCAGAGTATAACTTGACTACTTTTTTTATCCCATTTGACGAGATACCACATGTACATTTGAAAATTTCGTAAGGGAATACACCGACTGGGTAAGAAATATGATTTCGAGGATTCACTTTGTTAAAGAAAAACATTACAATTTCATCTAGCCCGATTTTCTTCCGTCATTCACATTCGCGTCAGCTAGGAATGGTTATGAGACAACGGTAACTCAACTGCTGGTGCACTCAGTTTACCGTTCGTTCTTGGTAGCAGTCACGGTAACGTGATTAACTTTCGTGAATGTTGATAGTCATATGACCTTTTGCCCCCATATTTAGGTGGGATTTCTGACCTGTTCGGTTTCTGTCTGTCTGGTCAAACAAGTCTTGATTAGCAATCTCAGTACGGAAGATCACGTGTACTTCTTAATGCACCAATTCAAAATAAAGGGTGTTGTTTATTTTACGAGGTAGACACTTCGATAATCAGAATCCACCGGATGTGTCAGCCACAGTATACCCCCGCTAACGGTGAACTAATAGCGGGATTTATAATACAAAAAATGCTATGCAATTCGGGAATGTTGCATATTTTGCATTATTGACGGAAGTAAAGAAATCAGGTTGGATATTTATGTCACATCTGTCGACTTTAGGCTAGACATTCAGAATGCACCCAATCAGATAACTTCGGCTGGTAACAGTCGAGCGGCATGAGTAGCATTAGTGAATCGTTCACAGAACATATCACTAGGTATTTCGTTGTCTCCCGGTTCGCCACTGCATTACACCAAACAAAGTATCAAAGTCAGTTGTACGGGCTCTCCCATCTAATAGTACGTTGGACGTATGTGACCAGAGGCCTGTCAGCCTCTACTGCACCTGGGGATTACTATATGATTAGAAACCTCCCAACTAACAGCTTCGTTTTTCCTGTCTGGATCAGTTTCAAAAGGAAGTTTGAGAAAATGAAAGTAAAAATACGAAGTTTTTTCAAGTGAATCCACAGGATAAACACGTGAATCAAAATTAAGCTAACATAAGGTAAAACAATGTGAGAAATAAACTACTTGGGGAAGGAAATCATCATCGTATTACCACTACAACATACATGTATTTTTGTTGACAAGCACTGGGTCCATACTATTGGTTGCAGTAACTTCAGGAGACTTTACCAGTCGCGCATTAATTGTCCTGTGGTTTACACAAACGGTTAATATTGCTCTGTGTCATGTTTAGTTGTTTGACAATGAGTGATCCCTGTGTTTTGAAAGGTCGGGAGTTGTCTCTATCCTGCTACGTGGATACTGATTTGGCAAATTCACATTTACCCAGCTTGGGTTATGTTCCGATGCCCGATCCCATAAACGCCGTTCTGTTCGGTCAGCGTAGGTGGCTTGCCACCTACACTAAAACTGGTAAATTTCATTGGGTTTGGCTTTCAAGGGCAGGCTATCTTTAACCGAGGGAACGAGAAGCCTTTTTGGTGGACACACACGTTGTATATGAGGCACGAGAGACTAGAGATCATAATAGTTTTTGTAATAAGTTGTTTCTACTTTATCTTCTGTTATTCACTTCCTTTGTATATCATCATATTAGTAGAGTAGTTCAGGAAGGTGGTCCCAGCTAATTAGAAGCCACCAATTAGGGCAAGTGACCAGTGAGAGCGGCAGAACTCGAACCCGGGGGAGAAGGGAAAATGTTCACCGTGATGACTATCCGGCAATGGCCACTAACATAGTCACTCGTAAATGGGTGGCAAACTGCTGCTTTCAGTCTGTTCACTGACACGCCATTGATGAGTCTATTGCCTGATAATATTTCATGTAATGGTGAACGTAATTCATTGTCTATGTTTACCACAACAAACAGTACATTGTTGAGAGCCAGCCGGGATAGCCCGATGGTTGCTTGTTCGTCTCACAGTCGTTCATCCCGGGTTCGACTCCCAGCTGAGGCTCAAAGATTTTGTACTGAGGCTGATTCTTATCAACGGTAAAACAAAGTTTCAGTGCTTCCGTGGTTTCGGCTGATGGTGGTTTGTTGGTATTATATGATGAGTAATAATACACACATATAATCTCCTACTACTCATACCCAAACATCTTATAAGTTATCAACTTTGAACGGTGAATATTTAGGAAGAGAGAGCCTAGTGGTTGGATGGATAATTGTGCTAAAATGTAGGATGTAGTTATCATTCTTGACATCTCGGGACCATATTGCGTAACTCTATTGATTGACTTCTAGATCATTTCCGTATCTGTAAAAATCTACCAAAAAATTATCCCAAAATTCGTGCACCTCTTAAAGACTCGGTAACTCTCGGGGAAACCCCATCAGAGTTTCTTAAATTACAAGCTAACTGGGAATCACCATGTGCCGTTGTAATCTGAACGAGTAACCAATATGATTCATCTACCCATTGTCTCACTCCCCCGGCTGTGGGTTTGAAGGTTACTTCCATTTTCAGATAGCTGTCTGAGCCAGCTGAATGTCTATTTGACACCCATGGTATTCAGAACAAGAAACCCCCAAAATAGCCTCGTTTAAGTATCAGATGCTATTTTTGCATTACAAACAGTGGTACGTATTTCGTACTTTCTCAACTAGACTCAGAAATGAGTGAAACGAAAACCTTTGTGCTTCAAGTCGGCCGATCGAACGACTGAGTGGAAATTAAGTATTACCATGAGCCGTCATTCATTGGTTCCAATACCGAAAGGTTTATCAATGACCAGTTTTACTCAGAAGCTGCTTTATCCTTTTTGAAAACATATTCGGCATCTTTTCCGCTCTAAATTAAGAAAACAGCTTGGAGAGTGCACCTTATTAGTCATTTCGTCTGAGCCATCAATTTACACTCAGAAAGGAATGTGAACCAAAGGTTGAAAAATAAAAGGTATTTAATAACGTGCAAACTATATTATGTTCACTGGTTAGTTACTTGATGGTTCTTCTTTATTTTTAGAGTAACCGTAACCGGATTAGCTGGCAGTTGGGCCGGATGATCTCGGGTTTCGTCTTGAATCATTTTTTCCACACTTCCGTACACTACAAACCAAGTGTTCTGGCGCTTTTCGCACATGCTCGTAAACGACAAGCTTGGTGTGCCACCTCTCATCATTTGAGCCTATCATTGCTGACTGACAATCCGTTGTGTTCCCCAACGGACTTCTACCTATTCTGATACATTAATTAATGACTGCTTATTTCTGTCATGCATTGTGCACAAGTGAATGCTATTATTGACAACACGTACCGTTTAAAACTGATCTGCATTCCTCATCTTCATGATTGGATCCCGTGTTCCTAGCGTGGTGCAGTCCGATTAACGGAGATCGTGATTTGGGTTGTTGACAGTTGGCATTCCAAATCCAATTGATTTGCAACATGGCGACTTAGATTTTCGGCATAGATTTAAATGAAGAATATAAACCACCAGTTTGTACCGTGTATCCAGAATCTTTTAGTTGCATCTTCACAAGTATGTCTTAGTGTTATGGTTATTGTTTATGAGGACAGAGTAAAAACAGACTGCGGGGGAACACAAATTACAGAAAATAGGTATGACATTACTAGCGACGGAACGGGGAGGGTGGTTCTGACTTTTACCAGAATGGGAGTAGGCTGGTAGTCTATTCATGTTGCTCCCATAAATCAGGGTTGTGGCTGTGAATGACGGGCCCTTTGGCGTCCTTCAGTAGTCTGGTGATGGTGCTAGAGTTGACGGCTTGAAAGACGTTGCTGGGTCTGACGCGGTGCTTCGATTTCTACTGATGCTGTATTATTGACGGCCTAAATTTCGTGATTTTGTTGATGTTACTTTGCCAAAACCATCTTCCTTCTTTTTTCGTATCCTACAAATTATTTGATGACTTATTGGTCTCTCTGTATAGACCCCTGAGCATCCACTCCGAAGTCAGCAAAAACACATTTTGACTTGGGGGAGAGGGTGGTGGCACTTTCACCGGTGACACTTGCGTATAGGTATGTACGTGATGACAGTTACCACTCGTAGAACTGCTGGTATAAGAAGGTGGTAGTTCTGGCGTGAGAGATTGAAACAGAAGTAAGGTCAGGTAGTACTGACCGCATGATGAGTTCATATGTGGCTGAGGATGGTGGTATGTTAATCAAAACATGGTTCATTAGTTCCGGTATTTTGCTCCGTATTTCGAATGAAACTGTCGGAGGATTTATGACTAATATAGCAGAAAGTTGTGTTGACAACTTACGTACTTATCCACGTCTGGGAATAGGAGCCAATGAAACAGTTAGTTATTTCAACTAGGACTCGAAAACACTGAAATATCGAAACTAATAACAAAATGTGAACCAATTTTCTCACCTGTACCACCCGTCGCACTTCTTACTCATTTTCTTGTCGGACTATTTTTGTCTGTGGTTACCTTCGTGGTGCCACTGTTCGGTGAGTAGGCATAGAAACTAATATATACCACATATGGAGCTGAGTGGTTGTAAACGTTAACTTGTTCGTTAATGTATTTTCATTGTCTGAGAATTCCCACGGAACACATTTGAAGAAATTAGATTGGCGAAGTTGTTCTTTGTAGTGATTCACAATTATGTTAATACATCACCGTGTATTGCGACAAGAAGAGGGATAGGGACAATGAGGGAAACAGATGGACGTGATAGGGATTAATTATCTTATCGTAAAATGTGATGTACTGGCATGAGTATGAATCCCTGAAAACGATTTTGTTCACCAATTCAAGCGTTTTATTACTCACCACCTGTGACTTTATCAGTAACCATGGCTCACGTACTTGGTTACCCCGTACTCTCATCGATATGATAGCATTTTCGAAAATACGGAAAGGTGTTGTGTACTAATCGCAATACTTGAACTGAGAGGACGTGTTGACCTAACTCCAGCCTAGAACTACGCACACCGATATAGTGAGAAGGCCAAGGCTGAGCAACCGTACATTATATTTACGGCAGATTTGATCTGTGTACAAATATTAAAATAAAGGAAATAATTGGTAGATCGTAGGTTAACCAGTCCTATCAAGCAGTTGTTGTGTCTGTTCACTGAGATTCTGAACGAGGGAAAGATTAATGATATTATACGGAGATCTGTCCTAAAACTGTCTGCGAATCACGAAACTGGTAAATATACACAGAATTAACGTGCAGTCCAAACGGTGACTGTGAGTTGGCTAATTAATTGTATAAAGCTTATCAGATACTTTATTCATAACATAGAAGAAGTGAATTACGAGCTGAACCATTGCGTTTGACCATTTAGGACGTCTAGGGCTTCCACGATAAGTCCTTCGAGACTCTCTGAATCAACAATCTTAAGTAGGAAAATATGACTACTCGTAGTGAAAACTGAAGCATTTGTGATTGAAAAGTTCATTCGTCGAATTGTTACTGTGATTTTTAGTTATTTATCCACTCTTTCATAATGGCTGTTAATGTATCGGAGGCCGATACTGGTTTGGAATGTATCGATAAATTGGTGAGCTGTACGTAAGCACTCAATGTTCGGTAACCTAAAACTGTCGGAAATGATGGTAGTCAGTCAAAATTTTGGTTACCGTGTGTCTTCATTCTCAAAACCAGTTCACAATCGAATGATAGTGGGATAATAAGCCAAAGCCACTTGGCATCAGACAGTAAATAAGCATGTGTTTGTGCCAGTATTTTGGATGTGGGGAATGAATCTTCGTGTCATTCAGGTTATTTGAGGTCTACTAGGTGCTGTGAGCTTTCAGACATCTATTCATCAGTGATACTAGTTCCATTCATATGCCTGAAATCTCTGCCCCATCGCTTTGGTTGAGTTGTGTAGTTCAGTTGCCAACTGCCAAAGCTTCGGCATATGGGAGCTCAGTTGAAGATTTTGAAGTTGCCGTTATCAGTGGAGTGGCTTTCAGCTGTAGCATAGAGTTCAACTTGCTAGTCAAGCTCCAACTTCGGTACGATCATTTATTCAGTCAGTCGAGATTCTTTTTCCCTTTTTGTCTCAAAAAGAAAATGCTGCTACTGATATAGTGGGTATATATATATATATATCTTAGAGAGGACAGCTTGTAGGTTTTTCTGAGTATAAATCTTTTTCATTGCTGAACTCTTTTCCGTGACTCCTGCTGATCATCAGTTGGTGAGTTGACCAACTGACTCCGCCTGTCTGTTCGTAGACTGATATATCCGAAAATAGCCTTTTCTTCTCCTGGCTCTCGGTAACTCATATTCGTAGCAACCGCAAAGGTGGTGTTTCTTCATCTGCCTTATTTCAGTTGGCTTTCGAGCCTGTTGGGTATGACTCAAACAGTCACATGCGCAACGTTTTCAAAAAAGACTGAAGATCCCTCGGGAAGTTCGAAATTCGTACCTAGCTACTTCAGTGCTCTTTCGTCGGATAATATTGCCAACACCACAGATTAAATTGACGTCAACTATGGTTTTGCACTTACTGGCACACCATCCGGAAAGAGGCTGCACCTTGACGTAGTGTGACGGATTTCGCACCGCATCGACCCAACGGGCTATACGGGATTGCTCACCCCAAGCCGAAGATTCCATCATACCTGGAAGGTCAATTGGTACATGACTGACAAAGCAATCTCCTGGTCCTCCAGGCTGGGGAATCGAGTTGAGCCGGCACCTCGGTCGGCAAAATCAGCGGAAGAATAGCTGATCCAGGCAGATGAGTTTCCACCCAACCCTCCCTGCTACGTTGTGAACAGGTTCTTGTTAGAGCTGAAGGCTTTGGTTGGGAGTCCTAATTGTTCTCCTGCTTAAAGTCTGAACACACCGGCAGTACACATCCAATATCTTGATGAGCTGTACGAATAAAAGGATTTCCATACTGCATCGGTCATCCATCAGGATTACTTGAACCATACTCCCCATTGCATCGAGCGGGATGGGTAGTGATAAGAAAGCAGACGTCAGTTAGCATTCGAAAGGATAGCCGTGTTAAGCGCTCCAAAAATCTGCAGCTCTGATAAGCAGAAGCATGAGTTATATGATGAACTCACCACTCTCGTTCACAGGAGCAAAGGCTCCAACATTGCAGTGCTAGGTGGTGATTTTAACGCACAAACTGGCAAACTTAGTGTGTCAGAAGCCTGTTCAAGTTGGCTTTGTGGCTCACCCTCTCAGCATATAGATAACGGGGATAGGCTTCTCCAGTTTTATGCAGACAATCGGTTATTCCTATCTGTTACAAATTTCCGTCACAGCTTGCGTCTCACGGCTATATGGTGCTATAACTCTATCGGTACTCGGAGTCAGACTGGTCATATCACAATAAACTACCGGTGGTGTGGCTCTGTGAAGAATTCTAGATCCTACTGCTCCAAGTAAATCAAGTGGGACAATGGATCAGTTTTATTGCGACTATCACTCCAGCTCCATGGTCATCGACGCAAGCCACAAACCCGGTTAGCTGTGTGACGTTTGTCTGATCTAGAAGTCTGAACTAATTATAAATAAAAAGTGTCACACGAGCTGGGAACTACGATAGAGACTAATGCAGACGAGTACTGGGGCCACATCAAAAGTGACAGCAGGTTTCGCCTGCAACCATAGACCCAGTGTCAAAGACACTAGGTTTCTTAAGGGTCACTGAGTCTAATGGAGCGAAAACGTCAGCTCTTGAACTGTCAGGGGATGAATAAGATACGAAGACATCTACAATGGCAAGTCACAAGAACCTTTAAGAAAGACCGCGAAAATTGGCGGGTCCGCGTAGCCGAATAAATGGAATTAGCAGCTGCTTCAGATGACAGTCAAAGACTGTTCAAACTTTTTCGAGAGGCCAGTGGACGGCATACCCCTGTCAGCGAAACGAACACTATAGAAAGGGAAAGCCCATTCATGGCTGAAAGCAAAGGCCGGACCTTTGGGACGAATACTTCAAGAAGAAGTTTACCTGGTTGCGAGGTAATCTGTTCTCTCCGATGTCAACTACTGCGGGTCTCTGGGTGGTATCACTTGAGTCCCAATCGGAAGGGGAGCTTGAATCTAGCATTCGATTGCTGAAGCGTGGAGAAATTTAGAGTCCCTACTATCTCTCAATTATTTCAAACTCGGTGGAGACGAGTTGATAAAATTACTCACCATCCCGCTCCTTCACGAGGAGTGTATCCCAATATATCTTTGTACCCACCTTCGTAAAGGGAATATGCAATGACTGTAGTAAACATCGCGGGATTAGTTCATTTCCGATGTTCATCGAGGTATCAGTCTTAAATTTTCTGCGCCGCCCGACACCGACTCGCGAGAGGGAAGCCACCGAACAACAAGCCAGATGCCGACAAGGTCGCGGATTTTTCGAACAGAATTTTGCTCTTTGCCAATTACCTGAAAAGCGTCACACACACTCCGTATGCTGACAATAATGGTTTTACTC